GAGCTAAGAGAAAAATCTCATGAAAGGAGGAAACAAACAGCCACCTCAGGGTTTAATCCACAAAAGGCTTGCAGGCATTTCCTAATTCTGCTCTATTTCTAATGATACTGAAATTCTGTATTACTGCAGCAGAAAATTTAGCCTTTCTCTGTTTTACCTAACTGGTAAACATAATTATCTTTTTGTCACACCATCTGAGAAGTCTAAAGGCTTTTTCGTTGTTTCAAAGAGTTTAGAGAGCACCGTTGCTTTCCTGCATTTTCAAGAATTAATGTTACATTCTTGGGGAAGTATCCAAAGGGGAAACAGACACTGATAAACTTTCACAGTTCACCAAAATTATAGTTCAGATACATAAGTTCAAGATTTCATGTCCTACTGGGCTGCTTTAGGATATTTCCTGGTAGAAACATGAATTAATAAGATTTCTTGTATTCAAGATTAAGCTACTAGCATTTTTCATTACTATGAGCCTTCAAAACGTAAACTCTGAGATACAGCCAAACTTCCTAGCTGTGCTATTAACAGACACCCACTTCTGATAACCACAGTTCCTAACTCAATTACCAACTACTGCTAGCAAATTTCTTCTATTTATTCACACCTTCTGCAATATGTGGATGTTCCCACTTCCTCCAGACTTCAAACTATGATTAATTCAAGGACAAAACGGAATTCTACCCCTTATCTGCATCGGGATTCATTCTCAAAACACTTCACAGCCTACAGGTGGAAAAAACTTAGTAATTTGACCTTTTACCTGAACTCCCAAAGGTGCCACCCACTGTACACCCGATCAACAAACCACATTTCCATAAACATTTTCCACTACCCCACATGACTGTGCACAGACTCTCCTGTCAGAGTTCACAGCATATCACAACCACAGCCCTATCTCAAACCAATTATCTCAGTAACAACAGAAAAAGGCAACTCAGCTGCGTGTTCACTCCAGTGTAGGGAGAAAAAGCCTGATATAACATAACCTGGCCTACAGCAACAAATTCTGAGGCACTGCTGCATAACCTGTGAGAAACACTCTCCACCTCCAGACGCTCTCCCTCAGTTATGTTTTTGATTGGTCAGTTCCCTTACCTGCATCACCTAAAACCTGCACAGTTGGTTGCACCAGCAGCAAAAGACTGCGTCAACATGCAAGAAGAGCAGGCAGGACCAACGACTACTCAAGGAAATGTTCCTCTCACATGAAAGCCTGCAAACCAGAGCCTTACTGCCTAGTCCCTGTCCTCAATTATCACAGTCCACACACCAGATGAAGGGCCAGCAAAACAGAAGATTCGCGGTCAATTCAAAAACAAACTGTTCCCAACCTTGTCAACAGCCCAAGAGCCTGCACAGGTGCTGCCACAACCAAACATTAACTGCCTTTCCGTCTCAGGTTTGCAGACCACTGTAAGCCCAGAAAGCACAAGCAGTCAGGCAGAAGGAACACATTCATCTTCTCTTCTTAAATCAAGTCAAACTGAGGCAATTTGTGAGACAAGCTCTAATGGAGAAATTAATCTAATGAAAGAAACAAGAGCCAAGGTTAACTACCAAAGTCAACACTTTTCATATGCAAGCTGCCTAATAATGTATTTTGGGCACTGGAGATAAATAACTCTTATTTTAATGATGTCATTAATTATAATTCAGTTCAGGATTTCATTTCCTAATGGGCTGTTCCAGGATATTTCCAAGTCTGACCCACACTCACTGGCATACCGTGGATTTGGTGTCAAAAATAAATCCATTTTTTCATATACCAAAGAATCTTCCTTTGAGGGCACAATTCAACTCAAGCCTTATTTACAGGGGGCCAGTTAACAATATAAGCAAGAGGTACCTACAAACAGTTTTCCTCACAGGGAAGGGAGAAGACAGAACTAGTTAATCACAGATCAAAAATATTTATTGTGTGGGTTAACATGTTACTGAAAGGCCTTCAAATTACTTGGAACGAGAAAAGAGAAACAAACAGAACATTTGAGACAAATTTTCAGAAGCAGTTGTTAATCTGATATACATCTATCTGTAGTGAACTACCCTTGGACGACAAAAAAGGAACAATTGAAATACTGCATTGCTGTGTTCATAATCTTTTATTTGCTCATATTAGTGGTAGAGATGAACTAATAGGACTTTAAGTCACTATCTCAACAGAAGGCATAAGATACTACTTTCTAAATATGCAGCAAGTTGCAAGATTCAATTCTCAAAAATAATCTAACTAAATGAACTATCATGCTAAACTAAATGAGCAGAGGAAAGATGGTTATCGGCATATTGCAGTTTTATGGGAGACAGTTCAAATTTGCCAAGATAGGATGCAACTATCAAAGTCCATATAAAGTCAAATAATCATTTCTCTGCTGTAGGTTTTGCAACCGAACAGACAAGATAATATAAATCACATTTCTGCAGTATACCAGGCCTGGAAGCGTGAAGGTAACATTTATGTCTGCAAGTGTAGCTGGAAGGGACAGTACTGCACCTTTAAAGGCTCCCTGCTGTGCCAGCTACACAAAACTGAAGTGAAAGGCTGATGAAGCTCATCTGCACAGCTTTGCCTAAAATATCTTTAGAGTTCAAAACAGAATCTATAAAATTCTGCCTATGAATGTTATCAGTTTTTTTTCTCCTGTATAAATCAGAAAAGAGAACAATATGACCCTCAGCCAGACTACAGGGAACCCTGCCCCAGAACCAAGAGACGGCTCTTAACAGAAACAGTAATAAAATCAGATTTACACCAAGCAAACTCACCATTTAGCAAGTTATAGAATACTGCTCGTGTGCTTTTCACACTAGTGGCACTACCCACTGAACCTCCAACATCCCACAGCTCAATGTAGTAGGTCTTCTCTTCTGGAGTCCCTTCTTTGTAGTCGTGGATCTGATGAAAAATTCACATAATACATAACCACAGCACCAACTCACAGGAGTCAATCCACACGACACTTACACATTCAGCTGGAAGGATTATTGCACTTGGATAGAAAATTGTAAATTCTCATGATGACACCATTTCAAACCTCTCAAGTGGAAGAGAGATGAAATGAGTCAAGCAGCAGCCACTGGATACCACAGCTCCTATAGGAGATGGAGCTTGGTGAGTAAGCAGTGATTATCCTTTCCATCTTAGTATGAACAAACCTAATGCTTCATGATGTGCTTGGAAAAAGCATGCTGCTAAAACAAATGAAAATTAAGGTCTTGACTTCTTACAGTTGTTAAAACCCACATTGTAGCACTGCAGGACTAGTAACACAGGCGACCACATTGGATTCCAATTGACCACATCTCTTTCCTCTCCAAATTCTCATTCACATCTCAACTGAATTAATCAACCAACAGCTTTTGCCCCTGGATCTGCCTGGTAGTTTTGCTCCACAGTCAAACAGGAATGCTGCTTTCCAAATTTTGGAAATATATTCCTAATCTAGGGAAATGTGTTTCAAGGAGAATGCAGCAAACTGTGGTGAAGGAAAAAAGCATTTATCAATGTCCCATGAGGGCTGTAGGTTGAGCCAAAAAAGTGCTGGATGAATATCCTCATTCCTCCCACAGCAGGTCCTACAGTGAGGAGTCAGGGGGAGAAGCAACCCTTCGGTCACAGACAGTGCCCACAACCTAAACCAGCAAACTGTTTTTCCCCAGTATGTTTGGCTGACCACGTGGCTATTCACTGCCTGTTTCTCAGGGAAACGTGGTTGGAATTCTGTGCCTTCTGACATAAACTGGCCCCCTGTGACTTGTAACTCGCCCGTGGCCACTGCAGCAGGGACAGGGGCTGAGCGACAAATACCTTGTGTGACTGACAACCTGGGAAGGTCAAAACTTGCTCATACAAGTGCTTGGCTCAAGTTGATGCTATTTGCCTTGAAAGATTAAGTGATCACCAAATCACATCATCAAAGCACACCTCTTTCTGTGGCGGTAAGTAATGAAAATAAAATAATAAAGTCAAGGCCCTTCTCTTCCCTTACACTGCGGGCTCAGGGGTACCCAGGGGCCGGGCACGTCACCTACTCGCACATCCACGGAGCAACCCACTGTCCAGGACGGGTTTCCCAGCACCTGGTTGTGGCACAACAGGTGAACGAGAGAAGATTTTCCGACACCTGCAAGGGCACAGAGAGAGAACAACTCCTGGGAGGCGGCGCCGGGGTTATAGACAGCGGGGCCGGGACCTCCCGCGCTCAGCGCTGCTCCCGGCCCCTCAGCGGGTGACGGGGAAGCAGATGAGGGGCGGGTCCCCAGGAGCAGCCCCGGGCACACGGCCTGGGGACAGGGACTCACCGGAGTCGCCCAGCACCAGCACCTTGACCCTGTCCAGAGCCGCCATCTTTACCCTGCCCAGCAACAACTCCCGGAGACTGGGGGACCCGCCAATCGCAGCGGGCCGTCCTTCCGCTTCTCTCAGCCTATTGGCTGTCTCCCTAGCCGCTGGTGCGTTTTTCACTTCTGATTGGTTCAGCTCGCGCGGGGGCGGGAAGGCGAAGGGCCGTGCGGGAGCGCGATTGGCTTGCGTCGCTGTCGCTCCCGCCGCTGAGTCGCGCCGGTAGAGAGGGGGCGGTGCCGCGCACGCGCGGCGGGTGCCGTGACGCCGGGGTCGCGCGCGGCGGTGACGCGCGTGGCGGAGCCGCTGGAAGCGCCGCCCGGAGCCGGGAAGAGCTGGAAGCGGCGCCAGGTCAGTGCCGGCCCCGGGGAGCGGGGTGGTGCCTGCGGCCAGCGGAGGCCCCCAGCCCGGCGCTCGGGTGCCGCAGAGCGGCCCGCGGAGTCCGTGCTCCACGCACGGTGTGTCCGTCTGGGCCCCGTTTTCGCCTTGGCTCCGAACCACCGCCCGCCGCCCCTCCTGCGCTGTCTGTGGGGGCTGCCTCTTTGTCTTGTGTGGTTTGGTTTTTTAGGAGGTACTGTTGAGCTCCTCGTGCCCTACAGAAGCCTACACAATCTGATGTTTAAACCTCAACACATTAAAAGTGGGTAGGGAATGGGAAGCTGTGCAGACACCATAAAGGGCTCTTTGCTTAACCTTAAAGCTTAGTCTGCTGTCAAAAATCTGTACAGTTTGTAATTTGAAGGAAGTTGCAGGATTGTGGACATCTGAGGAGTAGATGACTGGCAAATCCTCCTCATTCCTGTTTACCAGGTTTGGCTGCGGGTTGAGCCCATACAGTGAAACCATTCACTTCTCCAGGTGGGGTTTTTTTGTTTTGTGTAGGGTTTTTTGGTTTTGTTTTTAATTTTATTTTTTTGTAAATTAGTTTTCTTCTGGTCTCACAAGCTCTCTGGTTCCTTGAGAAGTAAATGACCATTACATCCTAATGGCACAGAATTCTTGATGTTAAATGGGCCCAGCTGTCAGGCTTGTGCCATCCCAAGTGGCTCAGAAGGAATGAGGAAGATTGGCATCCTGAAAAGGGTGTTCAGCAGTGCACAGCTAAGGTACATTTTCATGAAGTATAGGTGGTTTAATATTTTTCGGCCACAAAAGGTGGTGTTTCTTCTTTCATCTGTTCCAATGCAGCGTCATCCTCTGATACCTGCTGGTTCTGTTGCTCATCAGACTTTTCTGCTGACTCATTAAACTGTTGAAAAACATAGTAAAAAGGAGACAAAAAAAGGGGAAACATTTTTCTGCCTTTTAGTGGTGTAAATTGGTACACAGGAAGGTCCAGTGAGTGCCAGAGCTGGCATGAGAGAGGGCAGAGCCGTGTGCTTGGGAGAGGAGCACATGGCTTTCTGGGAGCAATGAGGCATGATGGGAGTTGCATTCCTGCCTTCCACTTCCTGTGAGATACAGCTTACTTTCTCACAGGATGCTTTAGGGAATTCTTTTGAACAAGAAACTATTTTAATTAAAGCTAATCAGGTATCTTGCTGATTTGTTTGTTTCTTTATTGCTTACACGCACAGTATATACACATTTGCTACACCCTGATGCACTAAAACTATTATGAACCTAATACTTCCAGAATTTTACGTTGTCTTTCTGGAATTCTCAAAGGTCAGGCAATACCACATAATCTATCATGATGACAAGTGTGGTGTTCCAGGTCTTATTGAATCCAGATGGAAAGCAATTAATGCTTCCTCCTGTCTGAAACTTAAAAAGGAATGCTGGGGCCAAGCCCAGTGTGCTTCAGTGTAATTGTGACTTCCTAGGCTTGATATTGGTGAGAAATGATCTTATTTTTTTCCCTTTAAACAAAAGGGAAACCTTACAACTCATTATGTGAGGATCAGTGCCAACACATCACCAGAATTACACGTGTTCTGCTGGTACACGTTCAGATTGGAGTGTAGATTGTACGAAGTTCTGCTCTCCATGGTTAAAATGTCCTTATATCACAGTTGAGTCAATTTTACCACCACATGGGGAAAGATCACCTAAATCCTTAGCTGTGCTTTCTTTTCTCTGCTCTGTGTTGGCTCTAGTCTGGTAACAGAAATGATTCAGTTGAACTTTTACCCCTTGCCCTCTCTGAAATACCCCAGTTTTTTGTTTTGGCATGTTGGCTTTTCACTTTTTATCAACTTGATTCGCACTGCTACAAGAATAGCGAACTGGCAGAATTAGCACAGAAGGGTGGGGGCTGTGGCTAAAGGCAAGGGAGGAAAATAAAGACTTCTTTATGGGAGGGAGAGTGTAACTTGACTTAAGCTGCAACAGGAAATGGTACCTTCACTCTTGTAACCACTAATTTTGACCTTCTGTAAATAGTGTGCTCCATTTTCTTTAGAGCTACAACTGTAAATAGTTGTTATTGCTCATATGCTTTTGAAGTATTTCTGAATATTTCATCAGTTTGTAAACATGCACACAGGTAGTCCTCTAATTTACTGACACCTTGCTATTGTTTGTGTTGTGTTAAGATTACGGATGTGATTGAGAATTAGATCCTGAGCCTACCTGGTTCAGTTTCTGCCTTGCACAGTCAGACCTTGTGGCCTTATCACATCTGGCTCCATATATCTTAACTTCTGAAATTAGGGGAAAATGCTCTGATTTCAGCCAGGCCCCTCGGCCTTTCTGTGCAGCTGCAGCACAACTTTTCATCCTCAGTGAAGGAGACCCCTTGATATCTGTGACCTCTTGGTTTCACTTTATGGAATGCCAACAAGAAGGTGGGATTTCAGTGAAAGCAGATTGTTCTTTTCTTCTCTAATACTTCAGGGTAGGTCTTGTCATGAAAATACACATTTTCTCATCAAGATGTGCAGGAGCAAGGCTGAGCAGCAGCGTTCCTGAACTCTCCAGGGAATGAAATTCAGTGAACTCTTGATAAAATGCGGGAAGACTTTGGGTTTGCAACTGATGTGGGATAAAGGCAATTCTGGATAATAGGGACATTTTCCAGATCATCCATGCACTACAGAGAAAAGCAAGTAAACGCAAGACTAGAAAATGGGAGCTTCTGTGCTGTATTGTGGAAAGGATGAGCAGTGTCTGAGGCTACATTGTACAGATATTTAAAATGCTGATGGCATGTTTTTGCCACTGAAGTTCTGAAATTTATGCCTTCCCTTGGTGTTCTCCAGAAGATTCAGAATCACTCCTTTCAGCTTAACCTCATCATCTTCTGGAAGGCAGAATTTTAAATTTTGTTAGAGTGAGAGACTGCAAAACTAGGATATTGCAAGTGACTGGTGGAGTGAGATATGGCATATACTGGCTCCAGGAAGCCTGTCATATTTACCTTATTTACAGGTGAGGGACTCTCTTCTTATAATCTGATTTTGATTTTACCTGAAGAAACTGTATCAGTGGTGTAAACAAGTGATTTTTTTTCCCCTTTTGAAAAAAATCGTACATCAGAAGCCTGCAGAAACATTTTCCAGACAAAATGGCAAAAGCTGGTCTCAAAGATTTGGTGAAAAAGAGCACTGACAATAAAAATTAGATATGGGGAAGTAGAGGAAGCACCTTTAGGTGTTAACAGTATGCCTGATAGCCTAAGTTCACAGACAAACCTGCAACTCCAAATTTTCCTCCAAAAGAGATCTGAGGTGTGATAAAGGGTTTGTATACCCAAATGAATCTGAAGAGCAGTCTGCTTCCTTTTTCAAGATCCTGCTTTTAAAATGTTTACTGTGTAAAATACATGAATAGTGAGCCGAGCCATGTTTATGTTTTCTGAGGTAAAATTAAAATAAGTCGCAAAGCTACATGTTAAAACCAGGTGATGTTCATTTGCAGTATTGGATAAAAATTCCTGCTAATTCATACTGGCTGATTTAGGCTTTCATAATTTCTAGTACTAGTTTCATCTACATTGTGGCTTCTAGGTATCACCTTTTTAAGACTTTGTCTCAGTTTTAGTCAGGAAAAGCAGGAAGAAAGATCTAACATCATTAGTACAATTCCTGTTTGAGTTCACAGAAGAATTCTTAAAATCTTTGTACGCAGAGAAGAAGAGTTTAGTTGCTTTGATATTGTGTCAGGAAAGTCCTGACCAGTGGGGATGTTTGCTTGGTTGAATTTCTGGCTTCTGTGTGGTCTTTGGTCCTATCACACCGAATGGGTTTTTTTGCAGTCACTTGCTTTCCTCCTGATTTCTTTTCTGACATCTCCGGTTATGCTGAAGGCCTGTGCCTCATACATTTTACTCAACCTGAAGTACAATCTGCATTTTGCAGAATGTACCCTGATTTTCTTCACCCAGCAGATCTGATTGTTTTGTGTAGCTGTAGGTCTCTTTTTCCAGTGTTGCTTTTTATAGCTACATCAATATTAATTCTTCCATTTAGAACGATTTTAAAAAACCCACAAAAAATGTGTATTTAGGTTTGCTGTCTTACTGTGTTAACACAGACAGGTCTACTTTCCTCCTATACCCATAATACTGAATTGCATTCACGTAATTGCCCAGAACAATTCCCCAACAGCTGTCTCTTTTAATAAAGCCCATATTTAAATTTTGATTGTTTTTGAGTATGATCCTGTCCAGTCTGCTTTATTATCAGGGCTGTCTGTAGGTGCTCACTGTATAGTGGAGTATCTTGGCCATTATTTTATTTTTTCCCCCTGAAAATGTTCCTTGATGTTCATAAATTGTTAAGGTCAGTTCAGATGTTATTTTGAAACGGTTGCACATCCACTGAAACCTTGTTAGAAGACGTTATCATATTTCTTTGCATATGTAATTAATTCAGGCTTGACTTACTGCTTCAGTGGAAGGTGAAATTGTTGCTCAAGGATGCAGTGGTGAAGTCCCCTGCTTATGAATTTTAAGCTGATATTTATGTAGTACTGGATTGCAGCGTGTGAGTTGCATCACTGCATTTCTTGTCTGGTGAAAGGTGGTAAGAAATTGCAACTTAGAGATTAAAAGCCTTGGATTTTAAATTGTGGGCCAGATGTCAGCTTCTCCTAGAGACACAATTTGTTAGACCCTGGCCTGGTGTGTTCTGGCAGTGGTACGTGCTCACTTTTGTGCCATCCTGTGCATACGTATCATGTGTCTTGTGTGAGAACATGATTATGGCGAATGATGTAAAATATGTCCTTCATCCAACCATACAGATCTTTTCAGAGCCCTTGCTTTTGATCAGTGTTTGCTCAACATTCTCATTTTTAGAGCTAAGTTATTTGTGTTCAGCATTGTTGACTTTCATGCAGCAAAGCTTGCTGAGGGTGTTCTTTCAGTGTTCTTTCTTGGCTTTGTTTCTCCTTGGGTTTTTTTTTTCCCCTTTCTTAAATATGACACTAGTTGATTGGCTGTTTCACCCAAAGGCTGTCTTCTGCAGGATTTAGAATTTAAACTCTGTTAATCCATTTTTTGAAGTGGAGGATAATAGGGAAGAATGGTTTCTGGTGTTTTCAGAATGCTTGTATTTCCATATATCCCCACCTGGAAGAAAACTAGTGTTACAGTTAAGATGCCTACTGTTACCTAAGGGCACAGAAGATTTGGACATCACTCAAAATCTCCAGTAGAGCAGAAGAAATAATTGTATTAAAACTCCTGGTCTCACTAGATCAAAAAGAATATTTTCTAGTCATTGACACTAAGAAAGATTATTAAATCTCTAACTATTGCTGAAAAGCAAGGGAAAAGATATACACTCTTAGATCTAGTTTTATTTATTGGTCCCTTATAGGTCTCAGTTTAAGCTGTTTGAGTGCATTATTTGGGAAATTGTACCTTAAACCTGTTTTGAAAGTGTCTGTGGAAATCTGCAGTTGTCTTATTAACGCAGAGAAAGTGCTTTCCATCAGCTCTCAGATGATGTATCCAGAGTGAGATGTGCTTATTTAAAAACACTTTTCTCCTTTCTTTTGTTGCAACTGATGTTCTGAAGGTCACTGTGCCCCTTCAAGTTTCATCGTTGAGTTTTCCTACAGGGAAGTTTTTAGTAAGAGTGAATTGATGAGGAGAGAAGGTTTTTTTGTCTGGTCTTCAGATCAGCACTTAAAAAGCTTTTGACTTTCAAAATTTGACTTATCTCCTGGGGTGCCAGGTTTTGTTTAAAATTGATCTTTACATTCATTCTTTACTGTGCTTAAGTTCTGAGTAAGATTTAATCAATTTGAATAAATAAAGGCTTCTCTCCAGCTTCTGCGTTGACATTGTTTTATAGTATCAGTGTGCTGCTGTTAGATGCAGTCAAAACCAAGATTTATCTTTAAGTGATTGAAAGACTGAAAAAATACCAACAGAATGAAATTGATCTTCAAGGACAATGTCCTATGACAGTATTTAGATTGGGTCTGACTTAGAGATTCAAAAATACTGCATGGTTAAGTCTTGATGGGGCATCCTTTATTGCTAAAGCTTTTACCTTTAATGCAAAGCCCTGTAAAGTGGTCCTTTGTGTGAGATAAATCACTATGGATCTGGCATGCAAAAGAAGGCTGACTGACTCTAGAAGCACTTGTTTCATGGTTAATTCGTGGTGTGATGCACGTATTTTAATTTAATTTCCTTGAAGGGAAGCTGGAGCTGGACATGCAAGCTTTGTTTTCTGTAAGCTATTCTCAGCCTGCATACCAGCAGTCAACAAATGTTGCTCAGTTAATTCCAGTTTGAGCACTGTGAATATCAGTTGTCCCTAAGTTAGAGAAAAAGAAATGCTCAAGCAGGGAAGCATTTTAAAAGAAAAGAATTAAGGTGTTTTTCTTACCTAAAAGGCAGAAAAGGCAGGATGATCCTTATTTATTTAGTGTTAAGCTTCACATTCCACAGCCTGATTGCTTTCCAGTTGCACTGGCCACAACCCTTGAGAGGAACATACCTCCTCAGTGGCCAAAGAGTGTAGGGGGGGGAGAGAAGTAAAGCTTCAGTGGATAATGTTACCTAGAGTTTTTTGAGGGGGCACTGTTTCTCATAAGAAAAAAATCCAGGCAGGCTACTGCAATAAATGATCACAGATTTTTGAAAAGCCTTAGCTGATGGAAGTGAGTCAGCAGCAGCTTGGTTACATGTAGAGTTGGTGACTTCAGGGAGATGTCTTAGTGTCAAGAGCGTAGAAAAGTTCTGTAATGGTGTTTGTCAAAAATCCTATCACGGATTTTGTGACAGTGATGAAGAAAATAGGATACTTATGCAGATCCTTTCCTCTGCTGTCACTCTCTGCTTTCCTCTGTTTGATAGACTTGAATATTGGGGAGGTCCATATACAGTGTCTGAAACATCTAAGGGAAGTGAAAATTGGGATTGGCAGAGGTTTACGATTTTTTATATTAGTTCATGGATAAAAACTGTGTAGCAATGATGAACAAACAGAAATTAATGTGTGGGGTTTTTTTTGAGTTGAAGGAATCTTTTGCTTAAGAAATAGTTATTCATGTCCTAAACCAGCGTAGAAGAATCGTAACTGAAAAAGATGATTCAAAGTTTTATTTGAAGTTATCTGGATGTACAGCCTTCTGAATGGGTATTTCAAAAGCACCTCTAATATTTCATTCTTGTCTTGAATCTTTTATATGTGGAAATCCATACATTATGAGTGGAGAGGAATTTTGTTATTGCCAACAGATGTATAGACTTGAAAGAGTGGAGAGAAAATGGGGAAAAGCACCCTTTGGAATGACAGTAACCCTTTGCACCTTATGGAATTCCTTCTCTTTTTCTCTTCACTGGACAAAGCTTTCTGCTTCAGAAGAGTTACTGCTCTTAGTTGTCTGCTGGCTAAATCTGGTAGGGTTGACAATATGAGGAATTCCTTGCATATGATTCTGTACATGTTCCCACATATGTCACAGAAGCATGTAATAGTCATGACCATTTGTGCCATTTGATGTTAAGCCAAAGAAAAGTGAAGTGAAAATGCAGTACTTGAAAATGATTGTCTTGTCACAGACAGCCTGGTAAGTCATGGTAAGTGACTCAAAAGGTACTTTGTGGAATACTTTTTTTGTTTGTTAAACACATCATCTCTTCATGTGCACTGTGTCTTGATTTTTGTTTTCTTTATTGTGCTATATTATTCATGGTCTTTTAAGGTCTGAATGTGGGACCCTGTAAATGAAGGATCAGTCCTTTGTAAGGACCTATTTGTTCATCTAAAATCAAGGCGGAAGTAGTAAGCTGTCCTAATACAGTATATCTGCCCAGTGATGTCTGAGGAGCAAAAGCAGGCAGGGCTACTTACAGTGTGACAAGTGACATCAGCTGAGGCCACAAGACTACTCCACTCTGGGGCTGTCTTAGGACCTTTCTTGCTGTAGCCTTTTTCTGCTTCTCCCAGGCTACAAGCCTCAGCTGATCATGAAGCTGTCTTCTGGAGCTCAGCTTCAGGACAGCTTTGCTACTCCAGCTGTGACTGAGTAGAAATGAAATCTGCAGTATGTTTTGGTACCAATTTCTTGTGTGCTTTTTAAAAAGTTTTCCATCATTTTGTTTTTAATGAGAGGTAACATAATTCTGTTTCTGTAGCATTGGCATTATGAACACCTAAGGAGACAGTACAGGGCTTGGGAAAGAGAAATGGAAAGCACCTCATCCTTTTCTTAGCTCTAAGTAGGATAAATAAGAATTTCGGAAGTTAGAAGACTAGCTAAGAATCCATCTGCCTGTTTTTCATTGCAGTATACATGAAGCTCAAGATCTGAACCTGCTATGACTGACCCAGACGTCGTCACTGAGGTCCCAGCAGCTCTCAAACGCCTTGCCAAATATGTGGTGCGTGGCTTTTATGGCATTGAACATGCTTTGGCTCTGGACATTCTCATCAGGAACGCCTGTGTGAAGGAGGAGGACATGCTAGAGCTCCTTAAGTTTGATAGGAAGCAGTTGCGGGCTGTTCTCAACACTCTCAAGGGTGACAAGTTCATCAAATGCAGGATGAGGGTCGAGACGGCTCCGGATGGCAAAACCACCCGTCATAACTACTACTTCATCAACTACCGCCTCCTGGTGAACGTGGTGAAGTACAAGCTGGACCACATGAGGAGGAGGATTGAGACGGATGAAAGAGACTCCACCAATCGCGCCTCTTTTAAATGTCCCATTTGCTTCAGCACTTTCACAGATTTGGAGGCCAACCAGCTGTTTGACCCCAGGACAGGTAAGAGTACAGGTAACAGAGGGCCTTGTTTCCTCCTGTGTTTCTAACTGCTGGACTTTAAGGAGACAGTGTCTTAGGAGAATTCTCTTGAGTTTGGCCGGAGCTAGAGGGCACTCTGTTTCTGCAGGTGGTAAATGTTTGAGCAAAATACAAAAGTAACGTGTACAGACTTAAACAGTCTGTGCAGACAAATAGCAATCTTGGTAAAATGCTTCTGATTGACAAGCAGTAGAGTGGAGGTCTTATCGCAGTCGAACTCAAGGGTGAATCAGGCAGTCTGTCCTTGTTAAAAGCTGATGCCTTTTCACTATAACTTGGTCTTGCCTGTCAACTGTAAGACTTACAGGTAGTTTGCAGAGTGCATATGTATAGTTAATTTTAGTGTGCAAAAATTTTTTAATTTAGAGATGGTCATGCAAGGAGTGAGTTGTTACTATTTAATATTCTCCTAGCCTAGTGCATTATACTGCACAGCCCTGTTTCTCAGTGCAAGGCAGTCTCACTAAAGTTAAAAGAAATTAATTACAGACTTGTTTGTGGTTGGGAGTAAACAAGATTCTTTTTCAAGTGTGAGTCTCAGTGGAAGTGCATATCTGTCTCATGCATATGAAATAAGAGTTTTTTCTGGGTGTCATTTTCTAAAGGGGCAGTCCAAATACTTTGTGCTTCTATGCCAGGGAAGAAAAGGGAGAACACCTGCAACTGATGAGATTCTATTTTGCTAGTTTAATCTGGAATTATTCTGTGGGGAAGGCCAGGGGGGTTGGGTGTTAGGCTTCCACCTTCTGAATAATTTTCTTTTTAATTTTTTCCTTTTGAATTCTATGTCTTGGTCTTTTTCACAAAAATAAAAGGGCAGAAGTCAGGAGAGCTCTCAGAAACCTTGGATTGTGCTGCTTTGTGTCAGGTAGCATAATGAGAAATGGTAAAAATTGCCTGTTTAGCAGCAGTGAAGCTTTTAATTTAGGGTTGCTGATGTCTAATCTGTTTTGGCGAAGGGCAAACACCCAACAAATATTCAGCCAATCACTTTCCCTCTTTTCTGCCTCCGAAGTTCAGAAGCTGTGAAACTCCTTTGACTTGAACAACCATGAAAATGATATTTAGTACTGGAGCAGCAGAATCCACAAAGTCAAGTAACAGTTGTTGATGAAATCCAGCGCAGCTCTGTGAGTAGAAGTTGCTTCCTTGGGGAGCACCAAAACCAGCAGTGCCAGCACAGAATTTCTGTGCTCCCCACCAGGTGCAGAAACTCTACGTTGCTCCCTGCAGTTCATGATCATCTCTGGCTGCTACGGATGCGTGTGTACAGGGGAACAGTGCTTCTGCAGCTTGCATCAGCAAGGAGAGAGTAGAGAACCTGTGCAGGGAACATACATCGTGGGGAGTGTGAGACACTGATCCCAAGGGCACCTGTAACACTTTGCAAAGGCCTGTGGCCATTGCCTCCCAGCCTGTGTGGGTGGTGAGTTCCAAGAGCAAAGAACTGGCTGTTGGGAGATGCTGAAGGCAATGCTGGGATTTGGCTTTGACAACAAGGCCTGTGCTCCAAGAACTGGTGAGGTCAGCCAAGGGTTTGTCTGCAGTACAGGCACTGGCTGTGTCCACAATGTGAAGTCATTCACTGGCACATGAGATGTCTTACAGTTTTGCTGATGGAGGGAAAGATTGAGTGCTGTTTTCTCAGCAGTTGGGTTTTGTCGGTATTTGTGCAAATAACAAGAGAGCCAGTTTACCTTATTTTCAATAAGAACATACTGTCTAGAATTTATGTGTCTTCTGTTTATCTTTTAAATCAATGAAAGCTTCATCTAGATAGTGCACAATGATACTGCATTTCTCGAGAGCTTTTACATGGAATACCAGTTTGGATAGAGCTCTCTAGTTACTGTTTAAGGTGTCAAACTCTCTCCAAACCATGAGACAGCTGCTTGTTTTTGTTCTGGGTGAATAAGTGGCCAATTTTGTTTGGGTTTTTTTAGTGAGGACAGTGAACAGCCGTCCTTTTCCAAGGATGTCTTTAGCTCTTATCAGTGCTATACATAAACCTTTCCTGCTCATTGAAACTCATGGCAGTACAACTGCTGAAGGGATAGCTGAAAGCCACATAACTTCAGTCACGGTTGACCTGAGCTGCTCTTAGACTGCAGCTATGTTGATAAAATTTTGCAAATTAAAAGGCCTTCAGGGCCAAAGTCTGTTAGTCCATGGAGCAGGTAGGGCATAGAAGGCATCCTCTGCACCAGTGTAGACCAAGCTGCACTTATACTGAGGATCTGTTGTTAAAAAGATACTCTGTTTCACTGATCTGGTTTTTGTCCTTGTTGTTTAGAAATGGGTATGATTCCGATGTCCTGTGTTTTCTTCTGCTTTGCTTTCCTCTTCCCTAGCTACAACTGAAATGCAAACTCTGAGCTATTGTTGTAGAATGAAAGAGTTAGAAGATGTGCTTAGTGCTCTTTCCCTTCCTTATTAGTGATGGTGTGGTTTCCAGAACCACTCAATGACTGTAGTTGTTCTGTTGGAATTTGTGAATTAAGAGTGCTTGTGAAGAACCTGTCTGTAAGTTGTGTGTGTAGAGTTCATTTATTTTTACCACAGCATCTGCATCTGTCTCAGATTTAGCAGAGTTACCTGTCAAGTGGCTCTTTTTTGGCTTTGTGCTTTACTCTTTATTCTGAATAATGTTGAAATAAACTGAAGTGTTTATTTTTTCATCAGAAGATGTGGTTATTAATGGTTTGGGAAAGTAGAAGTGTACCTGCTGAGAGAAAATAATTGATAGTAAGAAGGATATATTTTCAGGGTGTGTAGGTACAGATGTGCTTTGGTTGCTGTTCATCCAATTAACTGGGAAAAATATTTTTAACAGAGTAGCATGTTTGCCACTAGGGTAAGTTTAAATGTAGATTTTTAAATAGTATAAAAGTTACTTTGAGAGTGTGATCTTTGTTTTGAAAAGTATTTTAAGATTTTTCTCCATTCCTTTTTCTGCCATTCAATATCTCAACCCTAATAAGCTCCAAAAACTTACTATGCTGTCAGAGGTTGAACAGCCCTTGTCTGGTACTTGTAGGAAGTTCAAGGACAGGAATTGTGTAATGTTAAAAAACTGTGAGATGGTAAAAGTCAAGACGATGAAAAAACTGGAGTTTTCTGCTGCTTCAACTCACAAAGGAATGTTTTGAAAAGTGAAAAGAAACCAACGTTGTGCCGGAGGAGTCGCTTGGTTGTATGAGTAGTGAGTGCCTGCTGGCTCCGAGTATGGCATGACCAGGTCATGGGTTGTAGCCCCATCTGTTCTAAGTGAGGAGCTAGAACAGATCTCCAGCTGTCACACTTTCTCCTCAGTGGTGGTTTTTACTGTTGCCTCCAAAGAAGCAGTATCAGTAACCTCTGGTTTTAGAGGCAAACAGCCTGGATGCACAGTGCTTTCATTTTGCAAAAGTTTGCAATGGAAACTTGTAGCAAAGCTGAGAAGAACTTTCTGATTGAAAATTTGCAGATTTGCAGTTTGCCTATTGACCTGACAGTGCCTTTGAACTGGTGCAGGCTGGGTCGTTATGTGCTGAGCAGGCAGTCCTTGCCCACTTTTCTTGGTGTTTTGTAATCTGCAGGAGGAAAAATACTAATGCCGTATGAATGAAAAGTGTTACTTCCAGCTTTGTGTTTCAGATGGGATGACTGAGGATGGAACAAGATTGTAGTTTTCCTGGAAGATCCTAATATAAGCACTTGAAATACAAATCATTGCCTTTCCCTTGTGCCGTCACCTGCTGTCTGCCTGTACTCTGGTATTTCATCACTCTTGGTGCTGCATG